ACTTTGTCAATAGAAGCACTTGAAAACTCAAGTCATGATATTAAAAAAGGCAGCATCGATAGACTACAAACATAACACAATGTTCCGAGCCTTTCAAAGTCCAAAATGGAAAAATCCACGCTGATATTTTGGATACTGAACAAATTAGCCCATTGCTGGTTAATCATTCGAATTGCATATTAAGGCACAGAACGACAAGCTTTCCGTCATGCAAAAGTATGTCAAACAAGGTTCGTATAATCTTGAAATTTTGAAAAAAAAATTTTTTAATAATCATGTACCTCAATAATTTTCAAATTGTACTAAATATTTTGCGCGACGCGATTGTTCAAAAAACTTTGAATAATCTTAAAACCATTTGAATCGGACAATAAACTAAAAAAAAAATCGTCATGCAAATTTATTCAATTTCTAATTTGGTATACTGTAATATTTTATGCGACGTGGCCATTCACCATATTTTACAGAGATTAAAAAATACTGAGAATAATTGTACGGTATACATGGGGATTTAAAAGTGGAAACCTCAACAAAACGATCCAACGATAAGGATAAAAAACTAAAATATTACAGGAAGATATTTCGCACCTATTTCGATATTTTCCACGAAATGAGAGGATGGATTAATGTTCCAGATGCGTTTCAGTTTTTGCATGAGCAGAAAAACGGATTCATTCATGTCAAGTTCACCGTAGGAAAATTCTTTTTCTTGAGATAACGAAAAAGTTCTCGCAAGGGTTTCTGAAACTGATTCGATTCTCATTTCATGTCAAAAATAAAAAATAATAACAGTGGAACGATCACATTACGCCTCAAGGCAGCAGATATTGCTTCGAAAAATCAAACAGCGTGTTTATACAAGAATTCAAACCTGTTTCAAATCCATCAATTCCAGCAGAGAGAAAAAAAAAATCATTCTTGTTATTTCCCGCTCGTCCATCACCTAATGCCATACGGCGTATTTCTTTCAGCATGGAGTGTCACCCGAACCTCATCGAGTTTAATTGCGTTAATTGCGATAGGATTTAAAATCCGATTATTTTTCGGTGATTCAGTTGATTCTTGAAAATTGCTGGAATACAAGGAATCTGGTTGGGTAACTGTAGAAACTGACGTAACTCGAGATTCAAACCCCCGATCCAAGAAAAAACCACTTTCCACAATTTTGCACGCATCAAATTCATGATGGAAAATACGTACAAACGAAAATGTTGCTTGAATTCGGTTCCATGAGATATGGTACAACTGAATAATACTGAAGTCGGTACAACAACAAAAATATTTCCCAGGACTCAAAAATAAAAATCTTGATATTGGAGATCAAACAATCATGTTTAGATCTGTACAAAACCACAAGGGGTCAAGAAAAATCGGGTTTACGACAAATATTCTAAAAAACAATTCAAAATTGATGCTCGTAAACGATACTCACACTTGGCCGGAATTTTCAAAAATGAGCAGGAAAAAAAAAAAAAAAACCACAGAGACGTTTCAGACAGTTTCGGTGCTGTTGACTGACCCATTTCACAACGTCGGCGAACAGGGTTTTCAATACACACACGTCACTCACTCGGCAGAAAAATTCCAGGCGAATCACCACCCAGCACTCTTGAATTAAATTTTATTTTACTAGATTTTGCACACTTTTCTCTCGTCACTTCCCACGTTGTTTCCTGGCTCCCAAGGCCTTGAATCTCGAATTTTTCCCTGCAGCAATTTTTTTGGTATCCTGTGGAAGGTCCGTCTGCGCAACGACTCCGTGGAGCGCTTCGTACAACAGCTTCGCGTTTGCACCACTTTCCAGCGCTTTCGCCAGTTCAATCTACCAATTAAAATAATGTATTCAAAATTTTCAGTATTAAAAAAAATATATATATATTCCCAGTATAAAAAAGAATAAAATTAACTGACCTCGGACATGCCCAGGAGGTGATCCATGTCTCGCACTCTCCGCATGAAAATCTTCAGGTTCCTCGTGTTCAATCCGGGCAATTTACCCAAGAAATCCTGGAAACAAAAATTCAACTCGTCCTCAACCCAATCATTTATTTTTCCATCACATAGGTGTCACCTCAAAATTTTAACAATATATTTTCGATTGAAGTTAAATCGGTATAATTTTCAACGTCACGTGAGTCTGAATAAAGCTAAGTTATGAAGTACAAGTGGGGCCTTTAGCAACGAACGCTTTACACAAAGGAAACCCAGGTTCTAACGCCTGTTTTTTTTTTGAGCGACGAATTTGACTGGAGGAACAAACCGCACGTCAATTCGAAAAGCAGGAAAATTTTAAAATGTTTTTCCTCTCATAGACTGAGATAATTTTAAATTTCCATACAAATGGAAGAAAATTGGATAAAATTAACTTAATTAAACCACGTGAGAATTTGAATTTACAGTAGTTTGTCATTCCAAGTTGGCATGCTTTCAATATTTTTCGATCAAAACTCATCAGCAATGAATGTTTTCTTTGTATTCTTGGCTGTTTTTGAATTTTACATGCTCATTTTCTTTATTTTACCTCAATATTTATTTTACTCTGGAGCAAATTAAACAAATACCCGTAGGTTACCATGGGAAAATTGTGACTTGCAGAAAGAATGCCTTGAGCAACAAACCACCACTGGAATGGATTAGGTTCGTTGCTCAAGGCCCCACTGTATTTTAAAGATGAAGTTTTTTTCTTTGAGGTGATTTGGCCGAAACTCCTCTGATATACAAAAACAATAAAGAAGAGCTTTGATGGGAAAATTAGAAAATGTCCATACGAAGGGAATCGAAGGGTCTTTTCCTTCTTTCTTTCCTAGGAATCGATCCATCAAGTAAGAATCATGAACTGAGAATATGTTCTTTATGAAAAAATGTTAATTACCATGAGCAGAGGGTTGAAAGAATCATTGATCGCAACGTTTTCCTCCGCCGTTAAACCAATCGCACTTTCAACATTAGGCTGGAGTTTTCCTTCCTTCAGTTTATGAAACAGTTCAGCAGTCGCATACGGACCCGGAGACCAAATGATCTTCAGCTTCGGAAAATGCAGCGTTAGCAATTGCAAACGTGCCGTCACGTCCGTCGATTTGGCATCACTCGAAAAGTAATATCGACCCTGCAAAAAAATAAAATATTTACAGGTAACGAAAAATGAATAGAAATGAAAACAATAGATGTAATCAAATCGAAAACTCTTGAAAATTGAGCAGACATTATTTCTAACATCCCCGATATTTACCCAAATGAGGAGGAAATGTGACAAGGTCTTTTTTTTCTAGAATTTTTAAAAACCGTGCAAATCCATTTACTGTGATAAAAATTCTGGCTAAACGCATGAAACCACCTTTGTAGCAACACTGAATGATTTATGTCCCTAGTAGTATATGTATACAATTGAACGCTGTCTCAAAATGTCAATGTCCATTCCCTGCATCAAACTGTTTCTTTCTCATTGTTTCTGAGTCAAATTGAATTTGTCTCAAATTTTCTCTGTCCCACATTGTCCGCTTCTAACTTGGTTCTTTCTTAATTGTCACTGTCACAAATACAGTGTCTCAAACTGACCAAATTGATGTAGTCACGAGTTGGCTTTACCTGAAATTGACCTTGTCTGACATTGACTCTGTCTGACATTGACTCTGTCTGATATTGACTCTGTCTGAAATTGACTCTGTCTGAAATTGACTCTGTCTGAAATTGACTCTGTCTTGAACTGACTAAATTCTGTTTCACATTTTCTTTATCTGAAATTGTCTCTGTTTCAAATTTGTCTGCCTTGAATCATTCATAAGCAAAAGTCAAAATCTGAAGAAAAATTCAGACTTACATGATTCAAGGTGAATGGCTTATTGTGATCAAACTCAATCAGCAACATGGGCCGGGCATAAGTTCTGGTCATAGCCTGCGCCTGATTATACAATCGCCCAGAAACCAAACTTTGTATAAGATCGCTGATACTTTTCCTTTCCACGCAAATATCCGGCGTTAGAATATAATCTCCAACCTGAAATAGAAACAAAAGGCTACAAACCCCCCGAATTTTTCAAAATCGCTGCAAGTGCTGTAAAAGAAAAAATGAAAAGATTACCTCGATGGTAACGGGATAAATATCGATTCCGCGACGATGGATAAGAGACGGCAATTCGGAACGGAATTCTCTCATATCCACAATAATCATTTGTTCTCCGGGTTTCGGCTGATTGTCAAGAAGACCGCCTTTGCGAGAACTCGGACCTACGAGATTGGCAATTGCTTGGTCACTGGCTTTCGTTGGGTCTCTCGCCAAGTCTGGATGATCCTCTCCTCGACCCTCTGCATCTTCAGGTATCACCATCGTCTATTTTCAATATTAAAAAGGTATAAATGATATGCCAAAAGTCAATAACCCATTAAAAAAGAACATGGTTTCTCGCCGAAGAGAAATCAGCAAGAACGACAGAAGCGTCCCGCAACAGAAATTTCAACAAATTTGGCCCAAGATTCGGATCAATTGATGGGTAGATGTCACTTCAAACAGACTATTCGTGATTACTCATTTCTCGAACGAGGACAGATCCAATTCTCAATTTTCAGATCGTCCTCAGAAAGTTCACCTCTGACTGGAATGCCAAAGCTACCTTTTCAACTTCACCCATGACTTGAAACAAATACAAAAGGACAGTTTTTGCAACGTGGAGTAACGCTTTGACACAATTATTTTAGGAGTTCCCTGGGCACGGCGAACTACATTTTAGAGAATTTCTTCGGGAACTCACGCGTAAATTCGTTCAGTATTCTCAGGACCAAGAACACGTCGGAATAATTATATTCAAGTCAAGTACAATATTTTAATTTTCATCGCTCACCGATTTTTCTTGAGCGAGATGCTTGAAAGCTTCCTTTTCCTTCCTAATACTCGTCAAATAAGCTTGTTCTTCAAACGTCCCCGCGAATACCATCAGGTAAACACGAAGGGGTCGCTCCGGGTTCCTCGCTTTGTAAACCTGACAAAAAAAATTTTCGAATTAAAATTCGACAAAATTGTATCGAAAAAATAAACGCACTGTACCTCAATTTTCCGAATGAACGTGATATCAACGTCGTAGAGAACGATGGCAATCGGATGCAAATCATACATGATTCGTTCAATAGAAAACGGATCATGCGCATTGACCATCGGTTCGACCACGGGAATCAATTGATTCACGTCTGGGAACTCTTCTTCAAACTCATCTTCCTTCTCTTCTGCAGCCTCGACAACAACTGGTTCGCTCGACTTTTCTGCAACCACAACGACATCTTCGGCTGCTTTCGAAGATCCAACCATCTGGGTTAGGGTTTGATGCTTCAATCTCTTTGGCTTTGAGCGATCATTCAAAATTCGTTTGCGTTTGGCGCGACGCTTTCTGCGCCAACCCCGTTTCGAGAAGGCCTTCCAATTGGCCTCGTCTTCGTCAGCTTCCCGGGCACGTTTCAAAGAGTCTTGAGGTCCATACGTCAAGAACTGAATGAAGAAAAAGATTGCACAATTGTATTTAAAAAATGAACTATCACGCATCAATAATTTTCTCGTCCGATTTTTTAGCCAAGCATCCAACGGTGTTAACGCACGAACTTTCGATCAAGATTTTCAAAATTTTCAAATTTATTTTTTGCACGAAAATCTGCCCATGATAGGTTCCCAAAATTGCACTTCATCAGTCAGAGACGATAAAACTAGAATTCTATGTACTTTTTCGGAAGCTAAGTAACGATGTTCCGATTGTCAAGCAGCCAAAAAAATGCTTTCCACAAAATCCAATTGGAAAATATATCAATAGCATGCTCATAAAATAGCTATAAAATAATAAGCAAGAAAATTAATGTTCGGAAAACAGATTTACCAATAAAAAATGATGGTGGAGAATAACAGGAGTTTTGAATAGCGAACAATTACACTATGCGATGAAGTCTCGCTACAACAAATACCATTACAAAAATCGTTTCAGTTCAACGAACTTTTTGTGTGTCCTGACATAAAGCCTACTGTTGTCCTAATTCCGTAAGAATTTTATCTTAAGACACTCTTGATCTGGA